TACCGGCAGGGATTGTAGGTGGGGGGAGTGAATGTACAGCGCTCTCTCCCACCTTCAATACCACGACTGAGGTGCCCTTGAGCAAGGCACCGAACCCCCAACTGCTCCCCGGGCGCCGCAGCAAAAAAATGGCTGCCCACTGCTCCGGTGTGTGTTCACCTGCTGTGTGTGTGCACTTTGGATGGGTAAATGCAGAGCACTAATTCCGAGTATGGGTCACCATACTTGGCCACATGTCACATCATCATCATCAAAAGCCATGTGTGTCATCAAGTCCAGAAAAGGAACTTACTTTTTGGTAAAGAACCATCACTTTATGATGCTACTGTACCTCCACAGAAGGAGAAGATGGTGTAGTGGACAGTGTTTTCCAAAATGACCACGAGAACATTCCAAAACACACGTGGAACAGGCAAAGGAACACCACTGAGAGAAAATACATACAATTATCAATCAAAATAACCGGGAGCAAATGTCAATTTTGTTCATTCAAACATTAGAAATGCATATTTTCATACAATTAATATCTAGAAAAACAGATTTCATACCTCTCTGCATCGCACGGGTGAGCAGGACTGTCACAAATATGAACGAGAGTCAACGCAGTCATTTATAACATCTGATAATATATAGCCTATTACAAACTTTTGATGAGTTATAAATATTCAGAATAATAACTAATGCTCAATGACTTTCCAAACCAAAGAGGAGATCAGGGAGTGCAACATCATTTTAACCAATAAGAAATGTGCTACCGAGATGAAATCACTTATCTGTTTAATAACAACAATGCACTTCTACTAAACCCACAAATATTTGCACAAAATAGACCAGAGTACAGGCTTCATTTTTCAGTTACGCGAGTGACTACCGAGTTATGTATTTCTATATTTGTTTGCAACTGTAATGTTTCGAATCAAAATTGGTTTAGCTTTTTGCTAAAACATTATTAGGGATTGGGTTGGTGATGGTGGATGGCATAATTAATTTTGAACAGGTTTAAGTACATATACAAAATGAATTTCCATCATTGAAATAAAAAAAACATCAGCAATGGAGTAATTTGTGACTGACATGAAATTACAGATAAGTGATAGAGGATTTCAAAACTGCCTTAATCTGTAGCAGACAAATACAGTTGTGTATTAAAGTTGAAAAACATAACCGAGTAGCAGACAAACAAAACATCTACATTTTGATATCACCTGTAGTTTTTTTTATATAACGAAATCTGCGTCACTTAACTCCTGAAGTCAAAGACTTTGCAAAAAAAGATGACTCACTCCAGCAGAAGAGCTCGACATATGCGGGATGGGCGTATCGATCCGAAGTATCGATATATCGATCCTGACGCGAGTATCGAAAGTATCGATCCTCAAACAAAAAATATCGATCCTAAGGTGTTTTATTTACCAGTGGTTTTGTTTAACAAAAATAATAATAATGCGTACAATATGCATGGAATTGCACGAATACCCTTTGTTAGCGAGTAATTGTGTAGGATAGAACTATTTTCCTGCTCATCTGAACACACACAAATGTTGCAGGACAGAATTAATCAATCGGAGAGCGTTCACTCACTTCTGACAGTGCATTCACACAGGGCTGCGTTTCCCAAAAGTATCATAAGAAAGCATTAAAGCTTTTGGGAACGGCAGCCCTGAACAATGCTTATCAGAGGACAGAAATAAAAACATAAATGTTTGAGTTATTTCACAATAAACAAACTGAAATGGTAGCTTACATAGTTTGTGCAATTAGTTATTTAAATTGAACGTTGAAAGGTAATATTGATCATGTTCTATTCTGTAATGTTAATAGAAATCATACACTGTCAGAATAAAAAGGTTGTATTTTATGCATGCAACAGCCTGTCACTGGCAGTCCCAAAAGTCACAACAATTTTGAAATACGTTGATGGTTGTATTTTTTCTGTATTTGATCTCAGTATTCCTATCAATGTTGTATAAGGGTTTTTTATGCATAATAGTAACCCTAGAATGTGATCAAACAGTTTAAAATAGCTGGGCTAAGTTATATAACAATTTTTAAGACTGCAGAAATATGTTAATTCAGTATACACATTATCCCACCGGTTACAATTGTGACTGACCATAAAATAAAAATTCACACACACTTTTCCAAAAAAAAAAAAATTATTGATTATTTCAAAGGGTTACTAATGACACATCATTTGGATATTTTCATGTCTGGGAAAATTTTGGGATTAAACGGGTTAAAATGCGTTTTAAACAAAGTTTAAGTGGTTTTCATTACCCATTTTACTCTTAGTAATTTAATCATTTCATAATTTAAAAGTTAAGTGCAAAAGTATCGAATCGGTATCGACGATACTGCCTTGAAAAATATCGGTATCGTATCGAAAACAAAATAAGGGGTATCGCCCATCCCTAATCGTAACCGGGATCCAGTAGAGAAGCCGCGCGCAGGCACAAGCATCACCAGGACCGTAGAGACCGGCGCACGTCTCTCTATCTCTGGACAATCTGTGACTGGAGACACGAGGCCATAGTAATGAAGTAAAATAAGACAAACGGCGCACCCGCAGGACGCAGTAAGTGTTTTTGATTTCTTTATTTCTATTATTTTATTACAAATACAAAGTCATAACACTGATTGAGTGTTGGAATGTTAAACTAAATTACAATTTTTTTAATATTTAAACAATGTATTCGCAACAACACCGGCAACAGTTTTTTTGTACACAGGCTACTGAACCTCCATTGTTTGTATCCAAAAGCATACTTGTGCTGAGGACTTTTCTTCATACTCCCACTGGTTTTGAGGTAGCTAGAAACGCCGAAGGTCTCAGACACACCGTTTAGTACAGTAAGGAATTGGTGTTGCTTTAAGGTTCAAATTTAAGTTACACTTGTAGTGGGAATTCTGACAACAGCAGTTTGCTTTGAGGTCTCAAAACATATGTGTGCCTAGGTGTCATCTTGTGAGTCCATTCAGTGCTCTAATGTTAAAACTACATTCATATTGGTGATATTGAGAGCAGCTTACTTATATCAAATCCAACACAAACTATGTTTTCTGAGGAGAGGGGGATCGGGTTATGTGTTTGTTTTTGGAACTGAGAAAACCGCATTGGGTTGCTCCAGCCGAAATGTGATGTTGGAGTTGTTGTAAGTGCCCCAAGCAGCAGAACGTTCGGCATTGCCTTGTTTTACGGGTAATGAAGTTGCTGAAGGAACACTCTTGGTTGTATAGGCGAAGTTTCGAGAAGCCAGAGCCTGCTGAAGATGAATGAACTGAGGAGAGAAAGACAGACTGTTCGCACTGCAGTCTGCAGCTCCAGAAGTTCTGTTTAATACATTTACGGAATGCTAAATGTTAGGTCAGAGGTGAAACTGTACCTGTAGTGCTTGGTTGAGGTTTCTGTGGGTGGGTTCATTGGAGTTCTGTACAGAGGCCTGAAAGAGACACGTCATGAATGAAAGTCTCATGCTGGAATAGAAACTGTTCCCACAAAGATGGAAGCACGGCATTGTCCAAAATGTCTTGGTATGCTGAATAATTAAAATTTCCCTTCACTGGCAGTAAGCAACCAAACTCAATTTCTGAAAAAAAGGCCCATACTATTTTCCGTCCTCTACCAAACTTTACAGTTGGCAATGCAGTCAGGCAGGTAACATTCTCCTGGCTTCTGCCAAACAGAGAAGCATGATTTGTCACTGCACAGAAAACATTTCCACTGCTCCATTCTGAAACAGCATTCATAAAAACATGTCCAGTGGCGGTGGGCTTTACACCAATCCATCCAACACTTGGCATTGTACTTGGTGATGTGCTTGCTTGCATTCAGCTGCTCGGCCATGGAAACCCATTCCATGAAGCTCCCACCACAAATTTTTGTGATATTAATGCCAGCGTAAATTTGAAACCTTATGAAATCAGCAAAGCATTGGAGCCTCTGCACTCCGCTCTACTTTACGCAGTGTTTCGCATCATGGCGGAGTATAAATAAATATATATTTATATAAATATAAATAAATATATATATAGTGCATAACTGGGGTTCTCAACTCTGGCCCTCGAGGTCCACTTTCCTGCGTTTAGCTCCAACCCTAATCAAACACACCTGAACAAGCTAATCAAGGCCTTCACAATCACTAGAAAGTTAGTCAGGTGAGTTTGATCAAGGTTGGAGCTAAACTCAGCAGGAATGTAGACCTCGAGGGTCAGAGTTGAGAACCCCTGGTATATAATAATATATTATTTATAATAATTTATTAGTGGGGTTAAGTGTAAATGATCAGGTTTGCGATGTGTACCAGCTGAGGGCGCTCCATACCACAGTTTAAATCCACTGACTTGAGATTTGCAGTGTGTACCTTTTTTTCTGCACGGTATTCATCCCAGGCTGCTCTGCGCTCTTCCTCGCTCAACTCCTCTTCTTCCCGGTGGCCTAACAATGAGTTGTGCTCATGATAACTTACTATGAGCTGCCCACAGCTCTGCAGCAGCCGGACCAACACGTCATCCTGGAAGACAAAACCTTATGGTCATCTGTGTGTCTGTGTTCTGTGTGTACCACAGCAGGGCCATTTTTGTGTGCTTACTGCAGGCATTTCTGTGTGTTTACTGGGCCGTAGATCTGGCTGTAAGCAGTACAGCTCATTCAGCTGTCTGTGTGTGAAGTGTCTCTGAATCTGCTGCTGGTCCAGAACACGAGAGGACAGAGACTGTTTAGCAACTTGCCGCTCATAAATGTTCTGTTCCATCGTCCCCTACGCCCCCCCCCAAAAATAAAACAAAACAAAAAAAACATCCACATTAAAAATGTAAGAAAATAGCTTCCCATATAGTATATGTTAAAGCTATAAAAATTTATGTGAAAAATTAATTAAAACTTGTATGAAATAAAAAATTAAAAACAAAATTAAGACATCTTCTTGAATAGGTTAACAATGACAAGTCCTCCCAAGTATCTGTCGTTTTTATGTGTATACCTGGGCCAGAAAACGGTACACATATACATTTTTTTTCTGCCCAAAGCGATAGACTCTGAAGATGCTCTGGATGTCATATGATGGATTCCAGCAAGCGTCAAACACCACAACCCGGTTTGCAGCGACCAGATTGATTCCCAGAGACCCCGCGCGAGTGGAGATCAGAAACAACCGCCCTCTGACACAGAGGAAACAGCAAGAGTCAGAACAAGAAATGCAGACAATTTAAATGTGATGCTGATGAAGTTTTTGAGTGTACCTTATGTTTTTAGTGTTGTTAAACTCTTGAGCCCATCTCTTGCGAGCACAAGCACTGGTGTTGCCATCCAAACGATAATAATCTTTATTTTTAACCCACGATTTTTTCCCTGACAATACACACACACACAAAAAAACACTATTGCATAACCATGGAAAATGAAAAAATGACATTTCTAACATTCTCCTGTATAAACTCTTCATTTACCTTTGTATGGACAACATTTATTCCCCCTGGTCTCATCTGCATACAGGAGGAAACTCTCAATAAGGTCAAGCGTTATCAGAGATTGGCTAAACACCAACCTGAAAAAAGCAAACAGCATTTATAAAAACCTAGTGTGACTCTTTTGAACAGTGGGTTATATGAATATAACAATCAATGCAAAGCTTATAAAAAGTGCTACTTCTATTCAAGAATCTTTTCCTCACACTTTGTCCTGTAGTTCCTCTGCCCAGTGTAAAATCTCCAGTAGCAACTGCAATTTCCCAGAATGCTCCAGCACTTTGGCATCAGCCGCTGTTACAAATGGCAGATACCAGTCGGCAGATGGACCATTACCCACAACAAATCCTGAACAATAGACAGAGAGAGACACTAAGAATGAGACAGACAAAGACAAAGAGAGGCAGATTAAAGGAGAGAGAGAGAAACTGTTTTCCCACCAGAAATGTCCATTGTGGCTGTGTTTGTGACATCTGGATTTTGTGGATTTTGATTGGACCCGCTGACCAAGGAGACTGGATTAGTATTTCTCTCTCCATCACTCACTAAACCTGCGCTTGTTGCCTCTCTCCTGTGAGACAGACACATTGGAATCATAACCATCAGAGAAAATTTGGTCTTGTGTGGAGGAGACTTAAGACTTCTAGCAGATGTCTCATTGGTTCCACATAACTGTATATTATACAGCAAGTATGTTCTGACTGGCTGTGATTGTGTCACGTATCCAGGGCCGGCTCATCCAGGGTGAGCTCAACTGCCGCTCTAGACAAAACCCTACCCATGCCGCCCCCACTTCACATTCACAATTAAACACAATCTTTAAGATGCATGTGAAAGACTGGAGATTTTGTTTATTGGTACACCTG